CTCGGGGGTCCCCGGCAGCGCCTTCGCCGCAAGGAGCAGCTACTGGTCGTGGCCAGGTAGCCGGGAGAACCCCCCGCCTCGGGGCAGCGACATCACCCTCCATGGGAAACCCCTTCCTGGGGATGCTGGGCTCGGTCGGACCCCTGTGATCCCCTCCATTCCCTGAAGCCCCTGGAGTTGTGACTCTCCATCCCTTTCCCTGGGACCCCCACAACCATAATGCCTCCTTTTCTTTTTGATGTGGAGGCTCCTGGGTTTTGCCGGACCCCCAGGGCTGAGACACCCCTTTACTGTGGGACACCCTCCCTTCCTGAGGGGAGCCTGTGCTCAGTGGGACCTCCAGAACTGTGGCAGCCCCCTTATGGGGGGACAGGGCTCAGCGGGAACCCCAGGACCATGATCCCTCCCATTCATCAGATACGCCTTTTTTGGGGATGCTGGGACCCTGTGTCCCCAGTAGAGGGGGTCACTCTATCCCTGGATGAGGCAGGAGTCCATAACACAAGGGTCCCCTCTTTCTCTTCCAGACAAGTGGCTTCCCAGTGCCAGCTGCTTCAGTCATCGCTGGGCCGCCTGTCCTCCCCACAGCTCCCCCAACTGCCTGATGAGCCGGTGTCACTCCAAGATGCTCCGGGGGGGCTTTTCCAGATGCCCCCTGGAGACCCCTTCCCTGAGCGGGTGACAGTAGTCTGGTTATCAGTGCTGGCCCTCGCCTGTGCTTTGGTTTGTGACCCCCAGGAAAATCTGTCCTTGGCTGAAATCACCCTGCGGCGCCTGGCTCCCCGTCTGCTCATCTCCTTGCGGCTCCTCAGCCCTGGTGCTGATGTCCTGCTCCGTCAGGATGCTGCTGATGCCCTCTTGGATCGTCTCCTGCCCCATGGGCAGATGCTTTTTCTCAATGAACGTTTCCTCCAGGCAGTGGACCGGGAGCTGGGCATCAAAGCATCCCGCTGAGCTACAGATGACATCCCTGCCCACCACTTGGATATTTTTCATTGGGGAGAGACAAGGGAAGAATCCGAGATGGTCGCCAAGCCCCAGCAGGATGGATGGGAAAAGTAGCTCAGGAATAAAGAGCAACATGCCGGCAAAGAGTGGGATTTTAATCCATTTATCCCCCAACTTTGTTGTGGGAGAGCTAATAGCCATCCCTATAAATCCATCTGGAGCTGGAACAGTGCCGTGTTCCTGCACCGTTTTCCCGCGCTGTATTCTTGCACCGCTCCATGCGCTCGTGACAGCGGGCGGTGGCTCCGCATGGCCATGAATGGACATTAAAAGAGGGATGCCGGGTTACCCCACCTGGATGTTACAGGGCAGGTGGGGGGTTCCTGGCAGGGGAGACCTGGCTGTAGGCAGTGCAGAACCCCTCTGCTGTGGGATGGGAGCTCACCTCAGGACAGGAGGAACCCCAGGGAACATGGGGAAGCCGGGGGTGTGCAACCAGGCCTGGTGCATCAGGGTCACTGGGTGGGGGATTTATTTAAAACAGGTAGCGAGGCAAGATGTGGCCGTGCGCCTGACACAGCGGGTTGGTTGTCACCGAGTGATGCTGCTTGGGAACAGGGGACCTATGTGACATCCTGGGAGGTGGCTGGAGCCGGCACCAAACTGCACAGCTCTTCCAGCTGCCACCAGGGTGCAGTGGGGATCAGGGCTCTATCCTAGCAGTTTCTGAGTGCTGGGAGAGTCAGGGAACCAGGAGGTGGCATGCGTGGCTCTGCCTGGAGGCCCCTGACCTACTATACAAGCACATGGTAGTGGGTTTTTGAAAAAGGGGTAGGATGAAAAGGAAGAGAGAAAATAAGAGATGAATTAAAGGGGCAGAGAAATAAAGAGAGGAAGAAAGAGAGAAAGAGAAGAAGGAAGAAAAAAAGAAGGAAGGAAGGAAGAGAAAGGAAAGAGAGATCACCAGTCCTGGTTCCATCCATCCAACTGATGGGATGTCCAGGGTTCCGAGGACACAGCCCAGGCTTGGTGGGGGTACGTTTTTATAGATAGGTTTCCCTGCCCTGAAGACAGATTTCTCACTTTCTATGCAAATTAGTTCTCATGCAGTCTGTTCTTTCACACCCTTCTGGAAATGGGTTGGGGGGGTTGGGCATCTTGGATGGTCTCGTCTCCCCCTACCACATTGACCTTTGGTTGACAGTATGTGCCTGCTTCTATGCTGATGCTGTCTTATTTTTTAGTTGTGTCTCTGTGGACTAGAACAAGGATGTTTGTCCCAGAAAAGTGCTGCCCTACCTCTGCATGGCCCCTTTATCCAGTCACATCTTGTTCTTCCTTGTGGCATGTTAGTTCCAATAGTCCTTGGTTGGCTCCATGGTCATCCTGCTGTTGGTGTTTGAGATTTACACATCGTCCCCATTTTCTTCTGGGCTTCTACACCACCCTAGGGCTCAAACATCAATAGGGCCCTTGAAAAGGTGATCCCTTGAAAAGGGAAAAGAAGGGAAAGAGAGGTAGAGGGAGGGGCAAATGCATTCTGTAAATTATCTCTAAGCTTTGGGATAATCTCTCCATAATTCTCCACACCTTAACATACAATCCAATTACCAAAATGAAAAGCAGAAAGGTTAATACTAAAAGAACAATCACAGTGCCACATTTTGTTAAAAATTCACGTTGCTGTTGGCGACCATCCAAATAAAATGTCACACCAGAGGTGTTCCCCATCTTTCTTCACCCATTCCATCACCCAGTGGACTTTTTCCACATCTTGGTGAACAGTAATCAAAGTCTTTTGTCTGTTGTCTTGTGCTTGCTTCAACAGTCATCTCAGGTCCTCATGTTGTAGCACCTTTTTTACCAGTGTGAGGTTCATACCAGTGGGAATGGGTTTTAAAGCTAAGATCGAGGTGTACTTAGATTTCAACAACTGGTAGAAGTTAATCAGAGCTGAATGATTGAAATCCCACCCCTTGATTTGAACAAATTTACAAATGTTAGAATGATTTTTTGTTATTACTACCTGCTTATCTACAATTACATGATCACAAGGTGTTCCTAAGCAAACACATCTCTTGCCTGCATACATATGCATTTTTTCTGTGTTGCAATCTGATCAAATTTCAAAATGGCATATTTTGCTCAGTATCAAGAGAAGTGTCTTGAGCCCTTAGTGTATTTCCTGACAGATAAATCCTTGTTGTTCCTGCACAATGCATGCATCGACTTCTGTAGTTTGCCATTTTTCCCCTTCTTTCTAGGCCCATACCCTATGTTCTGTGGGGTACAATACAGTTCCATTATAAATTAATCCTAAAGCATGATGAGATATATTTTTTACACTTTAGCATTAAGCACTGTTAACACAAAGGCAGTGACCGTATAATTTTTGAGGTTATAGGTAAAGTTGACTAAATGCCACCAGGACAGGAAGTTTCTTTTAAACTATTTTCCCAAATTACCTTCCTAATCTCAGTGAGCAAAGTACTGTCTTCACTTTCCCATATGATAGCAGCTGTCATATCTTGCATGCACAATTGGGCTTGAATACAACCAAGAGCCAAAGAGACATTGTCTTGGAGTGTTTCAATGGTGTTAGCAATTAATTGTTGATGAGAACCAACTGGAATCTGAATGTATGGGCCATTATTTTGTATGCATTCATAGGATTCCACTTGCTGGATTTCAGTGTCTCCTGGTTTATGGCCAGAATTCTCTTGCAAGTCAGCCACTGAATCAGATCTAATGGAGTAATTTTCTGCTCCGCCCTGAGGTCTGGTTCAGGGGGGGTTGAAGGAGATAAAGAATCATCTTTCCCTGGTTCCCTGTCTTTGGGATCACCCTATATGTTTACATCCCTTGTAAGTCTGCTGTACTTTTCCTGGAACTTTGATATCTCAGTCTCCGTATGCAGCTCCATTTTGGTAGCAGTTTGCTGACCCTGACCATCACCTGTGGTTTCAGTTTTAATTAAGGGTCATAATGTTACTTCCTCATCATCAGATGACAAATGCTACATCTCACTTTTTGTCAGGGTAATAAATTCATTTACTGTCTTCCAATTCCTTCATTGGACATAAAAAGTCAGAGTTGTGTGATCATATTTTTTCAAATGGCACAGATTCTAAATCCTGCACTGGTGCCCCCTTTCCCACAGTTCCTGCTGACCTGGCCTGGGCCAGGCACCACTTCCCTTCTGCTTCTCCTCGATCTCCTGCAGCAGGAGCAGCACCTGCTCCACCGTGCCAGGTCCCAGCCCTGTACAACCTGGGTCACATCACCCAGGATGGAGAAGTTCAGTGTACTCAGCACTTTCCTAAAAGAAGCATCAAAGGAGCACCCCGGAGGGCAAGGAGGGAGGCACTCCTCCACCTGCAGCACCCTCGGCCAGGTCCCAGCCAGTCTGGTCCCCAGCCAGGACAAGCAGGGGCAACGCAGTGCTCACAGGGCAGGGAGGGAGGGAGGCAGAGCCCACCCCAAAACTGCCCCACACCCTGGGTGCTGGCCTTTTGAACCTGCTTCCCATCCTCCATGCTCCTTAGCTGAGCCAGCTTTTGTTAACCATTACCACTTGGGCGGGGCGGGAGGGTGGAGGTGCCAAGGCTCCTGGGGACCAGAGGCCTCAGAATCTTGATAGGTACAGCTGCAGCAGGAATAGGGTGGTAGAGGTGTCTCTGCAGCTGTAGAACCTTGTGGCACCTATTAAAGGGGCTGAAGCTGAGGGAGAAGCACAGACAAGTGGGAGGAGAGGTGATGGTGGGCTCCATTCCTTACCCGTCACGGCTTGGGCTTAGTGCATGGCTGGCACCACAGATGTCAAGGTGGCATCCTGCTGGGGAATAGGCCATGCCCCTGGCTCTTGCACTGGCATTGGCAACACCTCTGCCACATGTGATCCAGGCTGAACTTTGCTCAGTGGAGCACTGCCCTGGGCACAGTGCTGCCACAGGATCCATCTAGTCCCAAGGTTGTGGAGGCTGCCAGCAGGGAGGACAGCCAACACTGTGAGGATCCACCATCAGCCATGGAGCAGGAAAGTGTCAGGGAGGAGCTGGGTATCCCCCTCTACAAGATGTTCATTGAGGGCTGGGCACAGGTGAAGGATTTCCAAGCCCGTCCAGATGACCTGCTCATCTCCACCTACCCCAAATCAGGTGAGTGGCCCTGGGGAAGGGTGAAGGGAGGATGAGGTGACACCAGCCTTTGCAATGCTGTCCCTGTGCTGCAGGCACGGCGTGGCTGAGCGAGATCATGGACATGATCTACCAAGATGGCGATGTGAAGAAATGCCGACGGGATGCCATCTACAACCGTGTGCCCTTCCTGGAAATGAAGGACTCTGGGATACCGAGTGGTGAGCTTCCCCAGCCTGGCTCCCTGGGTGGGGAGGGAGCAGAACTGGGGTCAGGCTGAGTGTGCTGGGGCTCACACCTCTAAGCCCCCTGTGCCACAGGTGTTGAGCAGCTGGAGAACACCCCATACCCATGGCTCGTAATGACCTATCTCCCAGTCCAGCTCCTCCCACAGTCCTTCTGGGAGAAGAACTGCAAGGTAATGCTGCAGGTGCCCCTGCCTCTCTCCCCATCGGGGTTGGCAGGGAGGAGGCACTACTCTATCTTCCAACCACATCCTTGTCTGTCTCCAGATTATCTACATGGCCCGCAACCCCAAGGATGTTGTCCTCTCCTACTACTACTTCTACCAGATGGCCAAGTTACACCCTGACCCTGGCACACTGGCTGAGTTCCTGGAGACCTTCCTGGCTGGCAAAGGTGAGGGCTGAGCCACAGGATGCCCACCCTAAAATGCTGGTGGGAAGGACATCCCCTACTGCCCTGCTTTTTAGCTAATCCCTTGACCATATTCCACAGCAGCCTACGGGTCCTGGTATGACCATGTGCAGGGCTGGTGGGAGAAAAGAAAGGAGAAGAAGAGCCTGTAGCTCTTCTCTGAGGACATGAAAAAGGGGAGGGTGGGATGAGGGGCAAGGTGCCCTGGTTGCCCCCCCCCCCAGCATTTTTGGCAGCCTCCTCATGTCAACTGCCCTGCAGGACCCACGTCAGGAAGTGAAGAAGATCCTGCATTTCCCGGGCAAGGAGGTGGCGGAGGGAACGGTGGAGAGGATCCTTCACAACACTGCCTTCCAGGCGATGAAGAAGAACCCTGCTGCCAACTATGAGACCATGCCCACTGCCCTGATGGACCACAACCTCTCCCCCTTCCTCCGTAAAGGTGGGATTTGGCCAGTGGTGGAGGGCTTGGGAGGAATGTCCCTACGTTGTATTTCAGCCCCCAGCCGTGGCTGCAAATATTTTGTGTGTCTCGAGATTTGCCCCACTTGCTTTCTTGCCCCCAGGGATCTGTGGAGACTGGAAGAACTACTTCACTGTGGCCCAGAATGAGCACTTCGACCGGCACTACCATGGCAGGCTCCGACCTCCACTTCCAGATGGAGATGTGAGGGGCTCATCCCCCTTTCTGGGAGGACTCTGCTTCTCCTTGCTCCCCTGGTGCGGATGGTGGATCCCAGTGGAGCATCCTTGCACTGATTTACTTTCCCCCTTGCGATAAATTGTGATAAATGGAGAGTGAGTCATTGCCTGCAGAAATTACTCCCCCCCTCCTGCAGGGGGGAGGCTGAACCCCCCCAAATTCCAGGCAGTGTCTGGGAGAACCTCCATGATCAGCAGGAGAGAAGGTGAGCACACACAGTGGATTTTTGTCTGGTGATGGTCAGGCATCACTGGGAATATGCATCCTCCCAAACCCCACCACTGGCCCCTGTCAGCTTGGGTGCCCCAGACCCAGCCTACCAAGGTGCCTGGAGGGAGCAAAGATCGGTGAAGAGTTGAAAAACCCCAAAGCACCAGCAAACCTGCTGCTGCCATGGCTTTTGTGTGCACAGGAGCTTTCATGGCTCCAGGTTGTGGCAAGTTTCTTGACATAGTGGGTGGTGGTGAGGCTCTCCCCAGGCTCCCTGACCCAGCTGGAGCTTGGCAGCCCATAGTCTATGGAACAAAGGTGAAGAGAAACACCCCCCTGCTGGCGTATGGCCGGGTTCAGCAACATCACCGTCCTTGCTGGATAGGGAACCCCCCCCTGTAACCTCCAACCTGGTTGCACTGAGCCCTTGCTCTGGGATGGCCAGAGCAAACCACTCCCTGTCCCCCTGGGGCAAGGGTGTGCTTTGGAGCCCCAAGTGCCCCACTTACACTCCATTTCTGGCCTGTTCCAGAGTTTCTAAGATTGCAGCTTTTTGGCAATACAGCCTCACGGGGTTGTTTTATCCCTAAAGAGAAGCAACTGGGATCCGACTTATAGAGCAGCAGTGCTGTGAGGAGACCTGACCCATAGGAATGAATCCTTTCCAGACATTTATTTCAATGCCAATGGAGATCCCTGTGCTTCCCCACCTCCTGGCTTTGCCTGTGGTGTTTGCACACGCAACCAATTTTGCTGATATATGGACAGACAGACGGGCAGGGAGGCATGTCCCTGCCTGCAAAACACCTGAACGCCTGGCATGGCATGTCCCACCTCACCTGGAACTTGGCCCTGGGTCCAAATCAGGGACTTCTCTCAAGGTTGCAAACAAGTGAGCTGCTGCCCCTGCCCAGCTGCTACCTTTCCTGTCCTCACCACTCCCTCCTGGCTCGAAGGTCGCCTGTGGGAAGCAGGTACGGAGGAGCATTTCACCACCACAGGCACCTTTAAACACCTTTCCCAGGAGCACTTGTGCTTTGCAATCCTGCAGACCTGGGACCCGTATTTGCAGGGGTATGACCAAAGCCTGATCTCCACATTCCACTAGCAAGCCCCACGTCTGTGTGAGGAATCAGGGTCGTCCACTCAGGTGACTCCTGGATCAGGACAGGGTGACGTTAAATTCCCCGGGCTGGGATTTCCTCCATTTGTTTGCCTCCGCGAGTGGAGGGGGCAGCTGTGATTTCCACTCCCGCCACCTGTGTGCGTACCGGGGGTTGCTGAGCACGGTACAGCTTATCGCAGGCATCTGGGGACAGCCCCTACCCCCGCTCGCCCCTTCCCTGCCCTCCTCCTGCCCCAGCGCTGTCCCCCCGCCTGCCTGAGCCTCCATCTTCCACGAAGGGAAGGGAAAAGAGGAAATCCCGCCCCGTAGGCGGTGGGCGAAGCTTTGCCTCCTCCCTGCCAGAGGACCCGGAGAAGAGGTAATGGGGGGACTCTGGCCACTGTCAGGGGGATCGGCCCATCTCAGGGTGCCCTGGCCTCACAAGCAGAGGGCCTGCGTGGGGGGGGTGCGGGGGCTCAGAGAGGCTCAGTGTCCCTGCAAACCCTTGGAAGACGGAAGCAAGCGACCAAGCCTCTCTCCAAAAGTCACAGTGTGGGTGTTTCGCAGCTGCCATATCCAGCGTTTCTATCCTGTCTGGTGGGTGAAAAGGTTTCCTGGGGAGAGAGTTCTGGGAGCCTTGCTCCTCATTCCTGTCTCCTTCAAACCCTCACTCATCCCCCTGCAAGAAGGTCTTCCCCAAGCTGCCGTACAGCTGAGAGATGGGGAGGAAAAGGCAGAGGGAAAGCAGCCTGAAACCCCAGCCAGCAAAGCCCCTGTGAGCTTTTACACCCAGGTAAAAGTAACAGCTTGGTATAGATAGCTGCCCCACCTCCTGTGCTGACCTGAGCCCCCCAGAGCCAGCCATGCCCCTCCACACTCCCTGCACTGCCAGCTGGCCCCAAAAATCCCCTCAGAAGACAGATGCCACCTCCCATGACACCAACAAGCAGGGGACAGTTTCCTTCCTGTGGGCAGGATGGCTGGGTTCAGCAGGCATTTTGGGGACTCCAGGGAAAGAGGTGGCCCCATGATGCTCCTTGCTGCCGGCCAGCCCTGCCATGTGTCTATGTCCCCAAAAGGATGGCCAATCCAGACTCCTATCTGCGTCAGCCCTGGAGCACAGTGCATGGCATTCCCATGGTCAACGCCTTCGCCCTCAACTGGGAGCGGATCGACAGCTTCCAGAGTCGCCCTGAGGACATTGTGGTGGTCACCTTCCCCAAGTCTGGTGAGTGTCCCCAGGCAACAGAGAGGGGCCACACTTGGGAAGGGAGGAACCAACCTGGAGGAGCTGGGACTGGAGGGGATGCTAAAAGGCAACGCTGGTAGATGGTGGCCCTCGGCTCTGGTAGGAGTGGCATCAGCTGGACATGCAGCCTCTCCTCCCCAGGCACCACCTGGGTCAGCGAGATTGTGGACATGGTCCTGAAAGGTGGTGACCCCAAAAAATGCAAGGAGGATAACATCATCAACCGGGTGCCCATGATGGAGTTTGCTGCCCCTGGGAAGATGCCAGCAGGTAAGAGGGTGGCAGTGGGTGGTGGATGGGGGACACGCTTGGTTTTGTATGGGAGGGTACCCCACTGGCAGTGGGATTGCTCGTGGGGGAAATCCTTGCAGGCACGGACCAGCTGGAGGTTATGGCATCCCCTCGCATCATCAAGACCCACATCCCAGCTGACATCTTGCCCAAAACCTTCTGGGAAAACCGCTGCAAGGTAACAGGCTGGAGTTACCACACCTGGAGGAATCCAGCAGAGATAAGGGGGGTACCTGCCCTGTTGGGACCTTGCAAATCCCCACATGCCACCAAGCTTTCTGCAGATGATCTATGTGGGGCGCAATGCCAAAGATGTGGCTGTTTCCTACTACCACTTTGACTTGATGAACAAGTTCCACCCTCACCCCGGGACATGGGCCCAGTACCTGGAGGAGTTCATGGCCGGCAGAGGTGGGGCAGGGCACCCCTGGGTGAATGTGGGGACCCTGTGGGGTGCTGTCAACCAGTGACATCCCCTGGCTGCTCTCCCCATGCAGTGGCATATGGCTCCTGGTACAACCACGTCAAGGGCTACTGGGAGCGGAGGAAGGATCACCCCATTCTCTACCTCTTCTACGAGGACATGAAGGAGGTGATGGACTGGGGTGAATGGTGGTGTGGCAGCCGGGGGGGTGGCAGGAGGGGTGAACATCAGCCTGTGTCCCACAGGACCTCCGCCGGGAGATAGTCAAGGTGGCCAAGTTCCTGGGGCACGAGCTGTCGGAGGCGGCACTGGATGCCATCACTCGACACACTTCCTTTGAGGCAATGCGGGACAACCCCACCACCAACTACACCAAGCTGCCCTCCGAGATCATGGACCACAGCGTGTCCCCCTTCATGCGCAAAGGTGAGCAGCTCTGGGGGCTGCAGGTGCCCTGTACCCCTGGCCCCTGCTGAACCCCATCTCACCCGGCCTCAGGCACCACCGGAGACTGGAAGAACCACTTCACCGTGGCCCAGAACGAACGCTTTGACCAGGACTATGCGCAGAAGATGTCGGGCACTGACCTGCGCTTCCGCACTCAGATCTGAGGAGACACTGCCAGACACCCCCCAAATCCGACCCATGCTGGTGGCACTGTTCCTACACCAGGGGCTGCTTCCCCTCCTCTGAGACTGCTGGAAAGTAATAAAATGTGCTTCCTGACCCCTGCATGGGGTGCTCACTACCCTGTGCCTGTGTGGACCCAACCCTGCCATCCCCCTGGGGCTGCTGTCCTCTTCTTGGGCTGGGGACAAGCAGGTGTCACCCCTCAGCTGCCATGGTGGGGGGATTGCTACCAGCAGCTCGTGGGATTGCAGAGGGTTGTGGCAAAACTGCATGTGGGGAACCTGTTGGCTGGATATGGGCAGTGAGGGGTGGCCTCCCTGTCCTCCCTGTGGGGAGACACAGTCTGGGACCTGGGGGTGGGAGGCAAGACCAGCGAGGCTAGAGATGTCCACTGTGGCCCTGCCTGCCGGTCAGTGACTGGTGGCTTCTCCCTGTGTTTGCTCCTCCCTCCCGGCAGCTGCAGGGCCGGAAAACATTGCTGCCCTTGCCGCCCTGCCTTTTCCTTCTCCTCCCTGCAAAAACTGCTGCGGGGCCCCGTGTCTCCCTGTCCTCTGCCGTCACCCTCGTGGTGTCACTCTCCCAGCGTCACTCTCTCGGCGCAGAGCGGCACTGTATTAGGTGAGAGGGGTGTCCTAGAGTGCCCTGTGGGTACTCTGCCCATGCATGCTCAGCCACACAGAGCTGCATGCTGTGGGGTCCGGGTTGGTGGGTTTGGGGTACTTTTGGGTGTAATCAGCCACCTTAAAACCTTCCCCTGCAGTGAGGTATGCTGCAATAACCTCTGGGATCCAGCTTCCTGCTCCCCCGTGGTGCTGAGGCAATGGGAGAGGTGCTTGGTCTGGGTGATATTGGTACCCCATGGGTACCCCCCTCCTTGCTGGGGTGCTGGGTGTGCTCCTTTTCCTGCAAAGGGGACCCTTGATCCCCAGATGGGCCCCCTGTCCCCAGTGGTTGGTGCAGCGATGGCTGCAGTGACCTCTGGTCTGTGTGCCAGTGCTATCACTGCCACTCCCTGAGCAGGCACTGTGCCAGTTGCCTGGGCTGCTCTGGCTGGTGACTGCCCAGTGAGGGGGGGCCCCCCTCACCAGTCAGCCTCCTCCATGTGTCCCCCTCCCCAGCAGGATGGCCGATCCAGACCCCCACCTGCGTCAGCCCTGGCCCACAGTGCACGGCATTCCCATGGTCAAAGCCTTCACCCACAACTGGGAACGTGTCGACACTTTTCAGAGTCACCCTGAGGACATTGTGGTGGTCACCTTCCCCAAATCTGGTGAGTATCCCTGAGTGTACCAGATGTGCTGGTACCATGTGGGCAAGTGTGTTGTACATCTGAGGTGGGGGAAATGCAGCACATTTGGTGGCAGTCGGGACAGAGCTGTGTGGGATCCCCTTTGCCCTCTCAGTGTCTGGTTAAAGTCTGAGGGGTTGTCAGTGATCAGACACCCAATGCCACCCTGGCTGCCCCCTGATGAGTTCCTTTCCCCAGGCACCACCTGGGTCAGCGAGATTGTGGACATGATCCTGCAAGGCGGAGACCCTGAGAAATGCAAGCGGGACATTATCAGCAAGAGGGTGCCCATGCTGGAGTTCTCTGTCCCTGGGAAGTTGCCAGCAGGTAGTGAGGGGTGGGGGCTTGACCATGGACACCCTAACAGGGGCTGAGTCCTGGGAGTCTCTGCCAAAAGCCCACTGAGGAAGTGCTTTGGGATTCCCCAGGGACAGACCTGCTGGCCACCATGCCCTCACCCCGCGTGGTGAAGACCCACCTGCCGGCAGATGTATTGCCAAAATCCTTCTGGGAAAACCGCTGCAAGGTAACTCCCAACCCTGGTCTCTGCCCTGAGGGGCATTTAAGTCCCCCTGTTCCCATGAGACAGGACCCCCCATTGCTCCCTTGAGCACACTAAGTGGGCATGGGAGTTCTGGGAGCTGGAGCATCCTCCCTGTTAGGGGTCCTGCGACTGCTCTCACACCCTGTCACCCATCTGCAGATGATCTATGTGGGGCGCAATGCCAAGGATGTGGCCATTTCCTACTACCACTTTGACCTTATGAACAAGTTACAGCCACACCCTGGGACATGGGCCCAGTACCTGGAGGAGTTCATGGCCGGCAGAGGTGGGGCAGGGCACCCCTGGGTGAATGTGGGGACCCTGTGGGGTGCTGTCAACCAGTGACATCCCCTGGCTGCTCTCCCCATGCAGTGGCATATGGCTCCTGGTACAACCACGTCAAGGGCTACTGGGAGCGGAGGAAGGATCACCCCATTCTCTACCTCTTCTACGAGGACATGAAGGAGGTGATGGACTGGGGTGAATGGTGGTGTGGCAGCCGGGGGGGTGGCAGGAGGGGTGAACATCAGCCTGTGTCCCACAGGACCTCCGCCGGGAGATAGTCAAGGTGGCCAAGTTCCTGGGGCACGAGCTGTCGGAGGCGGCACTGGATGCCATCACTCGACACACTTCCTTTGAGGCAATGCGGGACAACCCCACCACCAACTACACCAAGCTGCCCTCCGAGATCATGGACCACAGCGTGTCCCCCTTCATGCGCAAAGGTGAGCAGCTCTGGGGGCTGCAGGTGCCCTGTACCCCTGGCCCCTGCTGAACCCCATCTCACCCGGCCTCAGGCACCACCGGAGACTGGAAGAACCACTTCACCGTGGCCCAGAACGAACGCTTTGACCAGGACTATGCGCAGAAGATGTCGGGCACTGACCTGCGCTTCCGCACTCAGATCTGAGGAGACACTGCCAGACACCCCCCAAATCCGACCCATGCTGGTGGCACTGTTCCTACACCAGGGGCTGCTTCCCCTCCTCTGAGACTGCTGGAAAGTAATAAAATGTGCTTCCTGACCCCTGCATGGGGTGCTCACTACCCTGTGCCTGTGCAGACCCAACCCTGCCATCCCCCTGGGGCTGCTGTCCTCTTCTTGGGCTGGGGACAAGCAGGTGTCACCCCTCAGCTGCCATGGTGGGGGGATTGCTACCAGCAGCTCGTGGGATTGCAGAGGGTTGTGGCAAAACTGCATGTGGGGAACCTGTTGGCTGGATATGGGCAGTGAGGGGTGGCCTCCCTGTCCTCCCTGTGGGGAGACACAGTCTGGGACCTGGGGGTGGGAGGCAAGATCAGCGAGGCTAGAGATGTCCACTGTGGCCCTGCCTGCCGGTCAGTGACTGGTGGCTTCTCCCTGTGTTTGCTCCTCCCTCCCGGCAGCTGCAGGGCCGGAAAACATTGCTGCCCTTGCCGCCCTGCCTTTTCCTTCTCCTCCCTGCAAAAACTGCTGCGGGGCCCCGTGTCTCCCTGTCCTCTTCCGTCACCCTCGTGGTGTCACTCTCCCAGCGTCACTCTCTCGGCGCAGAGCGGCACTGTATTAGGTGAGAGGGGTGTCCTAGAGTGCCCTGTGGGTACTCTGCCCATGCATGCTCAGCCACACAGAGCTGCATGCTGTGGGGTCCGGGTTGGTGGATTTGGGGTACTTTTGGGTGTAATCAGCCACCTTAAAACCTTCCCCTGCAGTGAGGTATGCTGCAATAACCTCTGGGATCCAGCTTCCTGCTCCCCCGTGGTGCTGAGGCAATGGGAGAGGTGCTTGGTCTGGGTGATATTGGTACCCCATGGGTACCCCCCTCCTTGCTGGGGTGCTGGGTGTGCTCCTTTTCCTGCAAAGGGGACCCTTGATCCCCAGATGGGCCCCCTGTCCCCAGTGGTTGGTGCAGCGATGGCTGCAGTGACCTCTGGTCTGTGTGCCAGTGCTATCACTGCCACTCCCTGAGCAGGCACTGTGCCAGTTGCCTGGGCTGCTCTGGCTGGTGACTGCCCAGTGAGGGGGGGCCCCCCTCACCAGTCAGCCTCCTCCATGTGTCCCCCTCCCCAGCAGGATGGCCGATCCAGACCCCCACCTGCGTCAGCCCTGGCCCACAGTGCACGGCATTCCCATGGTCAAAGCCTTCACCCACAACTGGGAACGTGTCGACACTTTTCAGAGTCACCCTGAGGACATTGTGGTGGTCACCTTCCCCAAATCTGGTGAGTATCCCTGAGTGTACCAGATGTGCTGGTACCATGTGGGCAAGTGTGTTGTACATCTGAGGTGGGGGAAATGCAGCACATTTGGTGGCAGTCGGGACAGAGCTGTGTGGGATCCCCTTTGCCCTCTCAGTGTCTGGTTAAAGTCTGAGGGGTTGTCAGTGATCAGACACCCAATGCCACCCTGGCTGCCCCCTGATGAGTTCCTTTCCCCAGGCACCACCTGGGTCAGCGAGATTGTGGACATGATCCTGCAAGGCGGAGACCCTGAGAAATGCAAGCGGGACATTATCAGCAAGAGGGTGCCCATGCTGGAGTTCTCTGTCCCTGGGAAGTTGCCAGCAGGTAGTGAGGGGTGGGGGCTTGACCATGGACACCCTAACAGGGGCTGAGTCCTGGGAGTCTCTGCCAAAAGCCCACTGAGGAAGTGCTTTGGGATTCCCCAGGGACAGACCTGCTGGCCACCATGCCCTCACCCCGCGTGGTGAAGACCCCCCTGCCGGCAGATGTATTGCCAAAATCCTTCTGGGAAAACCGCTGCAAGGTAACTCCCAACCCTGGTCTCTGCCCTGAGGGGCATTTAAGTCCCCCTGTTCTCATGAGACAGGACCCCCCATTGCTCCCTTGAGCACACTAAGTGGGCATGGGAGTTCTGGGAGCTGGAGCATCCTCCCTGTTAGGGGTCCTGCGACTGCTCTCACACCCTGTCACCCATCTGCAGATGATCTATGTGGGGCGCAATGCCAAGGATGTGGCCATTTCCTACTACCACTTTGACCTTATGAACAAGTTACAGCCACACCCTGGGACATGGGCCCAGTACCTGGAGGAGTTCATGGCCGGCAGAGGTGGGGCAGGGCACCCCTGGGTGAATGTGGGGACCCTGTGGGGTGCTATCAACCAATGACATCCCCTGGCTGCTCTCCCCATGCAGTGGCATATGGCTCCTGGTACAACCACGTCAAGGGCTACTGGGAGCGGAGGAAGGATCACCCCATTCTCTACCTCTTCTACGAGGACATGAAGGAGGTGATGGACTGGGGTGAATGGTGGTGTGGCAGCCGGGGGGGTGGCAGGAGGGGTGAACATCAGCCTGTGTCCCACAGGACCTCCGCCGGGAGATAGTCAAGGTGGCCAAGTTCCTGGGGCACGAGCTGTCGGAGGCGGCACTGGATGCCATCACTCGACACACTTCTTTCGAGGCCATGCGGGACAACCCCACCACCAACTACAGCAAGGTGCCCTCTGACCTCATGGACCACAGCGTGTCCCCCTTCATGCGCAAAGGTGAGCAGCTCTGGGGGGCTGCAGGTGCCCTGTACCCCTGGCCCTTGCTGAGCCCCATCTCACCCGGCCTCAGGCACCACCGGAGACTGGAAGAACCACTTCACCGTGGCCCAGAACGAGCGCTTTGACCAGGACTATGCGCAGAAGATGTCGGGCACTGACCTGCGCTTCCGCACTCAGATCTGAGGAGACACTGCCAGACACCCCCCAAATCCGACCCATGCTGGTGGCACTGTTCCTACACCAGGGGCTGCTTCCCCTCCTCTGAGACTGCTGGAAAGTAATAAAATGTGCTTCCTGACCCCTGCATGGGGTGCTCACTACCCTGTGCCTGTGTGGACCCAACCCTGCCATCCCCCTGGGGCTGCTGTCCTCTTCTTGGGCTGGGGACAAGCAGGTGTCACCCCTCAGCTGCCATGGTAGGGGGATTGCTACCAGCAGCTCGTGGGATTGCAGAGGGTTGTGGCAAAACTGCATGTGGGGAACCTGTTGGCTGGATATGGGCAGTGAGGGGTGGCTTCCCTGTCCTCCCTGTGGGGAGACACAGTCTGGGACCTAGGGGTAGAAAGAAGTTTACTGTGGCCCTGTCTGCTGGTCAGCAAATGGTGGCTTCTCCCTGCACTTGCTCCTCCCTCCCAGCTGGCAAACATTGCTGCCCTGGCCACCCTGCCTCTCCCAGTAAAAACCGCTGCCGTTACCCTCGTGGTGTCACTCTCCCAGCGTCACTCTCTCGGCGCAGAGCGGCACTGTATTAGGTGAGAGGGGTGTCCTGGGCTGCCCTGTGGGTGCTCTGCCTGTGCTCAGCCACGCAGAGCTGTGTGCTGTGGGGTCCGGGTTGGTGGGTTTGGGGTACTTTTGGGTGTAATCAGCCACCTTAAACCTTCCCCTGCAGTGAGTTATGCTTCAATAACCTCTGGGACCCAGTTTCCTGCTCCCCCGTGGTGCTGAGGCAATGGGACAGGTGCTTGGTCTGGGTGATGCTGGCACACCATGGGTACCCCCTGCCTTGCTGGGGCACTGAGTGTACTCCTGTCCTCCCTAATGGGCTCCCTCTCCCCAGCAGTGGGTGCAGTGATGGTTGCAGTGACCTCTGGTCTGTGTGGAGGTTCTATCACTGACGCTCTCTGGGCAAACTCTGTGCCGTGTGCCCAGGCTGCCCTGGCCATGGTAAACTGCCTGTTCTTTGCCCAGCTCTTTCGTGACTCAGCAGCAAACTAACCTGCTGAGGCAAGCTGACTTGTCACAGGGAAAGGCTTACCATGGGAGCATGAACACCAAAATGCATGAAAAGGTGGAAGGGAGAGAGCATCTCCTCCTCTCCGGGCTGATGAGCTGTTAGATGAGTCCATCATGTCTATACCCTCAGGATTTGCAAACTTGCCCATCAGTACAGAACAGAGCTTTCCCTGGGGATTCAGATATATGCTGGCAAGACAGTGTACCATATCTGCAGGTAGCTTTGGCAAGTCTACTACTGCCCTTCACTGTAGAGCTGACGACAGCTGCAGTACCTATTCTCCACCAACAATGCACAATTCCCAGCATGGACATAAAGCTTGGCATAAACCTTCTCTGATTTCTTTAGTGTTTTGGCTTGCAGAGTGGAAATGGCTCCAGTGTGAGCCACCTTGGTGCCTGTATGTTTACATGCCCAGGTGCCCCTGCAGCTTTGCAGCAGCAGTGAATAGAGTTCATAAAATCTTAAGCTGAATCAAAAAATCCAAGTGAAATACTGTAAGACTGGTATTTTTGTCCTGCAGCTGCAGGGTAGAGCTATAAAGATACTTTTGTCTGAGAAAGATGGTCATGGTGAGGCTATTTCAGCTCATTAACTTCAGCTGGAGCTTCCCTGTACCCTGGGGCTTACATGGAAATGGGTGTTTTACTGAGCGCATGCACACCCGGCTCTGCAGAATTGCTCAATCTGCTCACTTCTGCCTTCTCCCCTCCCCTTCCCCCCCACCTCAGAAACAAAGATAGTCAAGACAAAATTTTAAGTCTGCTTTCAGACCAGAAGCTGCTTTATTGCATTAAGTGAAAGGGAAAACAGAGAGTCATTTGGTGCCTCTTCAGGGCAAAAGCTTCCCTCTTCCACCCTGGTTCTGACTTTTTGAGGTTCTGGTTGGTATCAAGGTTTTCTAGAAATAAAGGTGCCATGCACACCATAATTCCCATCCAGACAGCACAATAGTGAAGAGACCCGTAAGAAAACACTAGTTTGCATAAGGGCCTTAGCCTTGAAAAGCCTGTTGTTATTTAACAAGGCTGGAGGTTGCATCACTGTCTGCAGCACTTCTACTTTGTAATGTTAGATGTATGAAATACAGGCACTTAAGACCATTTTTCTTCTGCCCCACTTCCCACTCATTTGCTGGATTTTGTCCTTTAATCCTCTCAAAATTCTTATCTTCTCTGATCTGAGTAATCTGAGTATCATCTTTAAAAGCTGGCCATGGAAACAAGACAAATTTAATCCTCTGGTTCCCCTAGTAATAGCTCTCATTTGCTACGGAGGAATTCCTTACTAAGGGATTGGAACAAAAACCTAGTTCCCATCCAAG